TAGCTAAAATGAACTGGGAAATCAGAATATTTCTATTCATCAGAAGTAAATATAATTCACACAGGAATATAAGGTTAGCAGAATTCTGAGTTTTGCAGCAATTCAGGTTTATACTACTTCAATTTTGGGGTCAAAAATTTAGTGGTCCTCTTCGGAGGAGGTCAGATTTTCCTACCCCATGTGTCTTGGCTTTTTACTTAAATTTTCATTTATTTATTTTCGTGTTATCTGAAAGTCAGTGAGAAAACAAAGAGTGGGAGAGATCCTCTTCATTCCCCCAATGCCCACAGAACCAGGAACAGAATGGCAGGGGTGCCAGGGACCCACTCTGCTGCCTTCCAGTGCAGGTGGCAGCAGGATGCTGGCTCCCAGCAGAGCCGGGGCTTGAACCAGGCACTCCGATGCAGGACGAATGAGCACATGGTGTCTTACTGGCTGCACCAAACACCCAGCCTGCCCCAGGCCTTCTCCCAGTGCCTTCAGCAGCCAGCTTTCCGTTGCTCGAGTTTACAATCACCCTCAAAATTCGCAGTCTTTAATATCTTAAAGAATTGCTATAAATAGCAGAGACTCGTCCTTCTGGATTAATGTCACCATAACTAACTTTCTCTAACAATTTCTTTCAGAGATTAAATAGGAAAAGTCCATGATACCTTATGAAAAAACAAGTGACTCAAATTATTACAAACTGAAAAATCTATGTTTAGTTCTGTAAGAAGTCTGCAATTCTTGATTCAGAAAAAAAAATTAGATTATTCGGCTGAAAGACCAATGTGTTAGCCAAAATAGGAAAATACACCTAATTTGATTTGCCTTAATAAGCCTCACAATTAACAAAAACCTAGAGAGTAATAAGATTAAAATAGGAGAATGATTAGGACTTTCTTTTTTTTTTCAAAGATTTATTTTTATTATTTTTTCATTGGAAAGGCGGATATACAGAGAGGAGAGACAGAGAGGAAGATCTTCCGTCCGATGATTCACTCCCCAAGTGAGCGCAACGGGCCGATACTATGCCGATCCGAAGCCAGGAGCCTCTTCCGGGTCTCCCACGCGGGTGCAGGTTCCCGTCCTCAACTGCTTTCCCAGGCCACAGGCAGGGAGCTGGAAGGGAAGCGGGGCTGCCGGGATTAGAACCGGCGCCCATATGGGATCCCGGGCGTGCAAGGCGAGGACCTTTAACCACTTGCGCCACCGCGCCGGGCCCAATGATTAGGACTTTCAAAGCCATTTGATACCAAGGTAATCTCATATTATTTAGAACACTCAAAGATTACATCACTGGGCCCGGCGGTGTGGCCCTGAAAGCAACAGGATCCCATATGGGCGCTGGTTCTAATCCCAGCAGCTCCACTTCCCATCCAGCTCTCTGCTTGTGTCCTGGGAAAGAATTCGAGGACAGCCCAAAGCTTTGGGATCCTGCACCCAGTGGGAGACCTGGAGGAAGTTCCTGGCTTTGGCTTTGGATTAGCACAGCACCAGCCGTTGCGGCCACTTGGGGAATGAATCATCGGACGGAAGATCTTCCTCTCTGTCTCTCCTCCTCTCTGTATATCTGACTTTGTAATAAAAATAAATAAATCTTAAATAAACAAAACAAAAAAAAGATTACATCAATACCTAACACGATGAATCCACAATAACATTTCCTGTTATATGGCATAATCTACTTTAGCTCTTAAGATAATATTACCTATGGATCTATTTGAAGGGAGAAATGAATTCCACTGTCCCATTCCAAAGTAAACACTGTACGTGAACACTGACTCAAAATGAATCACAAGTCCAAACAGGCACTAAAATTAGGAGAAGGGGAGCAGGCACTTGATACAGTAGCTCACGGATGAGAAGGCCTGAGGCCATGACGAGTGCCTGCCTTGAGTCCAGACTCCTCTACTGCTGACCCAGGCCTCTACCCTGGGAGGCAGATGAGGGCTCAAACACCTGAGCCCTTGCCACCCACGCGTGGAGGAGACTTGTACTGAATTCTGCATTCCTGGCTTCAGGCTGGCCAGCCCTATTTCAGGCATTTGACAAGTGAACCAGTGGATGGATGGCTCTTAAATTATACAAGTTTCAAAAAAAACTTTTTAATTCTTTGAAGAAAATATGGGAGCAGGGGGACTTGGCACAGTGGCTGACATGCCATCTCATACTGAAGGGCTTGAGGCCAGAGCTCAGCTCCCACTCCAGCTTCCTGTAAGATACACAGGTGGTATAGTAGATAATGACTCAGGCAGCTGGGTCCCAGTCACCATGTGGGAGATCTGGATTAATCCCCTTCTGGCATTAGCCTGGGCTTGCTGTGCTTACCACAAGCATTTTGAGGAGTGAACTTGTGGATGGTAGATCTTTATTTGTCTGCTTCTCTCTCTCTTCCTCTCTTTCTCATTGTCACGGTGCCTTTCAAATAAGAGGTGGAGGAGTAAGAGGGGGGAGAGCATAAGTTGACAACATATAATCCTCCTGATCTTGAATTAGGAAATGGTTTCTTAGATATGATACCACTAAAATCAAAGCAAAAAAATAAAAATTGACTTTTCAAAGCTTCTGTGCTTCAAAAGATACCATCAAGAAAGCGACAGCACAACCCACAGGATTGGAGAAAATATTTTTCTGATAAGTGTCTTGTGTCCAGAATATGTTAAAAACTCTTATAACTCAACAATAAAAAGGAGTATCAACTTTTAAAATGGGCATATGGTATTTGTTCTTTTGTGATTGACTCATTTCACTGAGCATAAAGGTCTCTAGTTGGGACCACCTGGTTGTAAATAGAATAGTTTCATTCCTTTTAATAGCTGAATAATATTCCATGGAGTAGATGTACCACAATTTCTTTAACCACTCTTCTTTGGACACACATCTGGGTTGTTTCCATGTCTTTGCTATTATAGATTGTGCTGCTGCAAATATAGGATTGCAGATCCCCTTCTCATACGCAGATTTCACTTGTATTGGTATAAACCAGATGTTCTCTCTTGTACAAGGAGATCAACATGGAAAATGTAACTTCAATAACCCAATCCATACTGTTTTTGGTTTGTTTGCTTGCTTTTTTGGCTGTATCCCATGTGTTTTGATTTTTTTTTTTTAATTTTGGTTTGGTTTATTCCAAATAATTTCTTTTCTCTTCTCAAATTCATCATGGAATCATGGATTATACATTGGCATCATTTTTCCTGAGAGACTTTTGTGTTTCCTTTTTGTCACCCATGTGTTGGTTACTCAGTAGCACATTTTTTCATGGTGCTGTAATTTGTTGTTGATCTTGTTGTTGCTGTTGTTGTTGTGGCTGTTCTAACTCATACCAGTTGGTGACCTTGTTTCATGGCTTCCCACTTATGGAAATGTATAGTGATGGAGTACTGGGGTCTATCAAATACAGATATGGGGGTATAATGGAACATGCATCCCTGCTTCCAGACGAAAGATGGATCCCAATGAAATTGTCGGACATGTGTAGACAACGGGATGCTGGACTGGCTGACATTGTCTGTACCAACAATGTCAGGGTACACTTAAATAAGAGACTGATAGAATTATGATTCCTTATGAAGGAGTACACTATTGTAACAAAATGGGAATAATCTGAGGGGGGGGTGGAAGTTTGGGGAGAATCCCAGCCTATACAAAATTATACCACATAATTCAAAATTCAAAACAAAAATATACTAAAACTGAAAATAAAATAAAATAAAATAAGCAACAGGTTTGAATAGATATTTCTCTCTAGGAGATCAAACAAATGGCCAATAGCAAGTGAAAAGCAGTCTGACATCATTAGCTATCAGGGAAGTACAAATCAAAACCACCCTAATATAGTACCTCACACCCACTAAGAAGATCATAAAAAAAAACAAATACAACGACAAGCATGGACTAGGATGCGCAGCAGCTGGAAGCTTTATACACTGCTCATGGTATATAAATTGGTATGCTATTTAGAAAACAGTTGGAGGATGATTTCTATATACTGATAAGGAACTATCTCTAAGATAGCACATGATTCAAGCTAAAGTAAAAAAAACAGGGGGGTGGTTTGCAGTGAGATAGCCTAGTGGCTAAAATCCTCACCTAGAATGTACCAGGATCCCATATGGGCTGGTTCTAATCCTGGCAGCTCCACTTCCCATTCAGCTCCCTGCTTGTGGCAGGGAAAGCAACAGAGGATGGCCCAAAGCTTTGGGACTCTGCACTCGCATGAGAGACCTGGAGGAAGTTCCTGGCTCCTGGCTTCAGATTATCTCTGCACCAGCGTTTGCAGTCACTTGGGGGATAAACCATCGGATGGGAGACCTTCCTCTCTGTCTCTCCTCTTCTCTGCATATCTGCCATTCTAATAAAAATAAATAAATCTTTTTTCAAAAAAAAGCTAACATAACATGTGCAGGATTATACTGCTACTTGTTTTCAAAAGAAAAAATATACTTAATATATTTGCTACATAAGAAAATAAAAATACCAGTTGCCACTTAGTTTGTGGAAATGGCTGAAAGGCTGTAAAACAGAATATGAGATGTAGTGCTAGTTTGTAATAACAGAGGATATGAAATAAGTTTATACCTTTTATGCTCTGAGGCATGTGAGAGTACTATCTGCTGAAAAACAGAGGTAGGCATTCTTTTAGTGACTAGGACACTAGCTAAGACAGTAATATCAAATATCAGAATGCACCAGGAACTCAACCCAGGTCTCACACATGTGTAGCAGAAACCCAAGGACCCTCTCATACAGAAGGAAGAAGAGGAAGATTTGGAAACAAGGTTCTCACTGACACTCCCCTACTAGAAACATCATAAGAAATTTAAAAAAAAATTAATAGAAATAAAAATTGTGTTACTGGGGTTCATCATGTATCATGGAAAGGAAAAAGGAAATAAAACATGAATTGAAATGTGAGACAAAAGGTTTTGAACTTGATCAGCCTCAATTGATACAAAACTGGTTCAGAAAGAAAATGGTAAGGTGTTTTTGTAATTTTCATTTAAAAAACATACCTTGTTGAGCTAGTGTTGATCTAAGCATCCCACTCTTTGACCAGATTTTTATTTGTCCATCTTCCCCAACTGTACATAGAAAAAAAAGTATATGTTTTTCTAAAGGAAACAAAATCAAATTTGCATACAAACCAAAAGTATCTACATTAACACATACTTAAGATCAAATGCAATTTACTCTGACAGTACTTCAAAACTGAAAGTTAGTAAAAATGACTGAAACACTTTTATCTAACTGTCCTAACTTCCATATTAAAATTTTATTTTCTTTCAATCATAAAAGATTTACGAGGATAATATTCAAATAATACTTCCATTGTCACTGAACTCTCCATGTTAGAATTCTACTAAAAATATCTTCTGACACCAAATTTCAACAAGTTACTGACTGTACTGAACAGGCTGGCTGAAAAGGGGAAAAAAAGAGGAAGTTGTACTTAGAAAGATTTGATTAATGGAGAGATTTTCACTTGCTTTTTTCTAAATCTTTTTTAAGGATTCATTTTTTTTTTTATTAGGAAGTCAGGATATACAGAGAGGAGAAGAGAGAGAGAGATCTTCCATCCAATGATTCACTCCACAAGCGGCTGCAAAGGCTGCTGCTGTGCCGATACGAAGCCAGGAGCCAAGGACTTCTCCCGAGTCTCCCACACAGGTGCAGGGTCCAAGGCCTTGGGCCATCCTCGACTGCTGTCCCAGGCCACAAGCAGGGAGCTGGATGGAAGCAAGGCTGCCAGGACATGAACAAGCACCCATCTGGCATCCAGGCACATACAAGGCAAAGACTTTAGCCATTAGGCTATTGCACTGGGCTCTGGTTTTTTTCTTAGTTTTTAAGACAAGTGACATTTGAACATATTTTTATGCTAGTAAAGAAACAACTGGAAAAAGAGTACTTGAAGACACAGATAAGAAACAAGACAATTCAGTAAGAAGTGTCCGACAGTATGACCAGCATAGGTGTGGTAATTTCAAAACACATCCACACATTCTGTTAATTCTCTGTTCAAGGGGGTTGTTTAATTTCTCTCTAAGTGTGGGCTGCTCTTAGCAGCATGCTTTCCATGTGCAGAAAGTGATGGAAATGATGAAGCATGATTTATGAGGATTTGTTAGAAAATCGGGGTTGTTTTTCTTTTTAATCATTGGGAGAATTTCCTATGCAGCCCTGTGAAGATTCCCAGGTGGCAATGACAAACTTCTGTTAGTGACAAAAGGGAACAAAGGACTCTTTCCAACAATTGTTCCGAGCAAGGCACATAAAAGCAGAACTTAGAAGCCCAGGCAAGCTTTCATATGATTGATGTCCCATCCAGCAACTGAAGACTCACAAGACACCGAACCAAAAGAACTACCCAACTAGATTGCTACCTGTCTTAAACAAAGCCAAATTCCAGTGAGTTAGGAAACTAAATCAAGTAAGAGATTACTCCTTTATTATTATTTTATTAAATATTGTACTTGAAAAAGGAGGAAAGAGAGAAGTTATAGCTTAAAAAGTGTTGTTTGTGTTGGACAACATATTTTAGGATATGTTGCTTTGTAGTAAGTGATAGATAATAAAACAGTTATTGATGGGCCAGCTCAATGGCTCAATGGGCTAATCCTTCACAGTCAAGTGCAGGCATCCCATGTGGATGGCAGTTCGTACCCAAGCTGCTCCACATTCCATCCAGCTTCCTGCTTACGACCCGGGAAGGCAACAGATGATGGTCCAAAGCCTTGGGATCCTGCACCTGCATAGGAAACTTGAAGAAGCTCCTGGCTCTGAATCAGTTCAGCTTCAGCCATTAAAGCCATTTGGGGAGTGAACCAGTAGATGGAAGATCTTTCTCTCTGTCTCTTTCTCTCTGCAAATCCGCCTTTCCAGCGGAGGGAAAAGGAGTTACCGATTCTTGGAGTAGAATAGAAGAGAGATAAAGATCAGTTATAAAAAAACATTTTTAATTTTAAGAATTACACCATAGTTAACTATCAGCAGATGAAAGAAGTCTCCAGAAGCCACGTGGGAAAATAAACACTGTGACAGCCTGCATCACAACGCTGAGGTAGCAGCCTAGAGCACATTCTGGCAATTATCTGCTGTTAGTGAAAAACACCAATGTTAGATTAAAATATTCTGGGTGTTTTTTCTTCAAAAATGTATTTAAAGGTTATTTTCATGGGCATCTTACCTGTAACTAATGCTGTTCCTTCGTAATTCCATCTTCCTGCAAGCACTGCTCCACAGTGAGCTTCGACACTTTTTTCCACTCTTCCTAACTTTGAAATCAGATGAAATTTACCTATAAAAAAGATATATTTGAAAAACTTCCATTATAATAATTTATTAATTTATTCAATTAACATAATCTAGTGCTATGATTTTCAGAAGGATAAGACAACTCTGACATATGGCCAAGGACCATCAGAACAAAAATCAAGATTATTTTTTATTTAGGCAGTTTGGCAATCTTGGTATTTTTTTAACAGGCTAAAGGGAAGTTTAAAAATGTTTGGAGGAGAGAGGAACCAAAATAGTTAAGTATATAATCCAGGTTTTAAAGGACTTGCCTTACACGACTTTACACTGTGACAGACATTAGATAGATAAAACAGGCCATTTAGCTGCCATTTTCAAAAAGTTCCCACAAATACAGGCAGAAAGTAAAAAGGAAAAAAAAATTACATCTTTAAAGAACACAAGCAGATGATATAAAGATTTCAAAGAGACAAATCAACTTTACAAATAAGTGATGTAGAAAGTTCTAAGAAAGTTTCAATGTGATTTTTTAAATGATCACTAAGTCTGGTAATAGTGGGGCTGGTATTTTGGCATGTCAGTTCAAGTCCCAGCTGTTCCACTTCCAATTCAACTCCCTGCCAATGGTCTGGCAAAAGCTACTGGCTACTGTTAACCCCAGCTGCTGTGCCATCGGGGGAGTTACAAAGTGGATGGAAGATCTTCACCTCTCTCAGTAACTCCAGCTTTCAAATCAACCAATCAATGAAAATCTTTTAAACATCTAGGATTAGTAACAAAGCACAGCAAAACTAGAAACTTTTGCCAAAATCAAAACATTTTTTTCTCTGCAGTAAGAGAATAATGTTAACAGCTGAATCAAAATGTTGAGTCAAACTTTTGCTTAAATTCACTTTTTACCCTACAGATTCTCAAAATTCTTTCCTAACATCAAAAATCCATCAAACGTATCTGTAAGTCAAATGCTTTAAGGTAGCTTTCAATATTTAACACCTAGCTTTAAAAATTGTGCCACCTAACCATTCCCACCAACAGTTTCTCTTTTCTACACACAGCAGACTTTATTTTAGTTCTTTTGCAGCCATTTTGTTGTTGTTGTTATTGACAGCTGGTTTGTTTTTTATATGGGCTGATTCCACTGACAACAAGTAGCATTTTGTTGAATCAACCAACTCAGTAACCCAAGTGATGCCCTATTTATTCTCTTTCTGCTCATTCATTTTGATGGCTTTCTTCCCCTCCGTTCATGTTTCTAAGCCTCCAATAGCAATCTACACTTTCCATCTGATCACTCACCAGCATCACCTATTTTTCCCCACATTTCCCTTTCAATTTTATATTGTCTAAAGAGTACTTTTCCAATGTAACAAGATTACTTTGAGTTCAACTGTACTATTACTCTCTTTATGAGACTAACACAGTGCAGCCAGTGCCACGGCATATTAGGTTAAGGTTCCATTTGCGTTGCTGGCATTCCATAAGGGTGCCCATTCAAATCCTTGGTACGCCACATCACATTCAGCTACCTGCTTACAGCTGGGGAAGCAATGGAGAAAGGCTCAATTCCTGGGGCTCCTGCACCCACGAGGGGACCCCGGGGAGGCTCCTGGCTTCGGATCAACTCGGCTTCAGCCCATTTGACCATTTAGGAAGTGAATTAGCAGGTGCAAGGTTATCCTTTCTGTCTCTTCTTCTCTGTAAATCTGCCTCTTTAAATAAAAATACTAACGAATAAATCTGTACATACCTTTTCTTTACAAAGAAAATGGAACATGAAAGACAAAAACCTCAACAGAAGAAACTATAAAGATGACACAAAGAAGCACACATATGGGCACAGCACATGAAGCCACGACTTGTGAAGCCAGCATCCTACGTCAGAGTGCTAGTTCGAAATGAGAGTGCCAGTTCAAGTGCCCCACATCTCTCCTTCTAATTCAGCTTCCTATTCATGCACCTGGGAAGACAGGCCAAGTCCTCAGGCTCCTCACACCCACGGGGGAGACCTGGATGGAGTTCCTGGCTTCAACCCGTCTACTGAGACTGGTTTGGGGAATGATGGAAAATCTCTCTCTCTCTCTTTCTCTCCACCACTCTGCCTCTCAAATAAACAAATAAATAAATTTTGGATTTTTTTAAGTGACATACAGTAAGTGTGACAATAATCCTGTGATCATTGCCTATATATTTGTAAATGTCTGTTTCAATAAATGTTAGCATATCATGTAGCACATAATATCCACATAATAAACAAATGTTGCACACAGTAAATGACTCCATCACCAAATTAAACAAATATCAACTCATGCAAGAAATACACGTCCAGACATTGTCTTATAACCTATTCTAGTCTTTTGAATTTTTATCTATTGACATTCCCTAGCTTAAAATGACTAATATTGATTTTCTGACAAGTGCTAAAACTGTACAACCTGGGAAAAACAGAATTATCTTTCAGCACAGATCTGAAGATCAATCCTGGACCTTTGTCTTTTGTATCAGTTACAACTAGCACTTCCAGAATAAAGCACAAATAGAAAATTATATAAATATTATAAATCAATAATTAATTCAATTAATTGTTTTAGTTCTTCTGTACAGGTTTTTAAGCTTTTCAAAAATCACCTTTTGAAAATAAAAGTCCAAAACTATATACCAATTAAATTTCCCCCCCAATTACTTGACAGAAGTTGGACATGAGAATACAGCCAGGACCATAACTGATTTGCTTCTTAATGTAAAAGGATTTATTTAGGTTTAAGGTTGACATTTAAACCCTGAGGAATAATATCAATCTCTACTTATAAATAACAGGTAAAATTGAAATTCTAAAAAGTGTATTTAAATGAGCATATTAACTAACATAAGAGAATGTGGGAATCATTTTTATATCATTATAATATGTTTAATACAAGATTTAAAAAACAACTTTCATTAACTATAACTCAAGGAATGTTGAATGACTTCCCAAGAGACTGTATCAAAGCATTCCTTTAGATAGTAACTCTTCTAAAACGTTTTAAGCATTTCAGTAATGCTAAAAATGGAAAGATTAAGCAAACTGCTAAAGATGTATAACCTTTAAAAAGTAGTATATAGCTCCATGAATTATTAAAATAGTAAATAATGCTAGAAAGAAAATAATTGATCACACGAAAACTTGAGTATCTCCTCATGATATTCAACTTCTTCTCTGAACACTTTTTAATTTCAACATCCCGTTCTCTGTCTCACACTTCTACATCCTTTCAAACTCAATAATTTACTTAAATACTTATCTGAGAAACAGTCAGAGATATAGAGAGCGCACATACATGTGTTGCATGGAGAGAAAGGAAAAGCAGTGGTAAATGTCCAAGCAGTGAATCTGAATAAAGGCTCATCTGAAGTGACCTAAATTCAAGCCATTAATTCCAAGTCAATCCTGTTGATAACAGCCTGTTCTTTCTCCTCTTTCCATATGGTGTTCCATTGACTAAAGTGACTCACATAGCAATGGGCACATGACCGAGGCAGCAGTGAAGAAAAGACACCCTTTCTGCTGACACTTCTCAGCCAGGTTCATGAGCCCTGGACTGCTGGCCAATGGGAGGAGAGCCTCTTCAAGAAACGGAGAGGGATCGGCATAATGGCAGACTGGGTTGGCCATTCCATTTCCAATCCAGATCCCTGCAAATGCTCCTGGGAAAGCAGCTGAAACTGCCTCAAGTACTTGGGCCTCTCCATTCAGTGGAAGAAGAGGGCAAGCCTCCCACCTTCAGCCCGGCCCAGTCTTGCCTTCTGCAGCCATTTGGGAGTGAACCAGCAGACAGAAGATCCGTCTCTTTCTCTCTCTGTAACTCTGCCTTACAAATAATTAGACACATCTTTTAAAAGAGAGACAGAGCTAGAAGGAGGGAGAGAGGAAGAAGGAAGGGAAGGTAGGTGAGTGAAAGAGAGATCAGGGACCTGATGCAGCTTAACTGAACATCTGCCTCTGGGGAGTTAGGTGAACCAAAAGACTCCATTTGCGCATAAGGATACTCCCAAATGAGATGTAGGTAGAGTACAATGCAGATAAAAACAGTTCTACTGTTCCTATGGAAACAAAAATTAAAGCATTCCCTTAACAAAAAAAGAAAAAGACAATCAGACTACAGACTAATTTCATAAGTCTTCAACTTTGTAACTGGAAATTAACATTTACTAGATAATAAAGCATGCCTATATACTTAGTGCAGTTATGTTATTAAGTTAGGTGACGATATCACATCTTTTAAATACAAAGATGAGCACATAAGATCCATTTGAAACTTACCATCAGAACTGGTAAGGACAAAGCTTTCTGCCTGTGCCTGCTTCTTTACACCAAAGGTTTTTGGAAACCAGTGCAGATCGATGGGGTAAGTGTCATCAGGAAGCTTGACTATCTGACTTGTCTCACTGGTTAGCAGGTTCCACTTCACTATCTGGTGATCATCACTGCAGGAATACAGCTCTTCAGCAGTCGTCCAGCCCACACAGCTTACTAATTCTTGATGTATCACAGCGTTAAGGAGGCACAAAAAACACAAAACAGGCTTAAATTTTAATAAACAAAATGGTTCATTGATGCAGATTATGGAAAGGAAACAGAATGGCATGAAACATCTTTAAGTTTCTGAATGTACTTTTCATTATGTGACTTAGACATTTTTTTACATTCTAAGAAAATAAACATCTATCAAAACAGTCATAAGAACACAAAGTAAGAAATTCAGACATAAAAGGGAAAGACAAAGCTCTGATTACATGGAAGTTGAAAATCTGCGTTACAGGGTGGAGCACTGTGGTCCAGGGGCTACCTCACTGCAGGCGACACTGACACCCCAGACTGAAGGACTACTTCAATCAAGACAGCTGCTGACGTGCATGGGAAGACAGTGTGAGATGAAGAAAGCACTTGGGTCCCTGCCATCCATCCTGCCCCCAGATGTGGCTCTGGAATCCTAGCTTTGGCCTGGCCCTGCCCCAGCCAGTGCAGCCATTTGGACAGAGAACTAACAGATCTCAATCTCTGTCTCTGTCTCTCTTTCTCTTCCTCCCCCCTCCCTCTATCTGTCAACTTTTCCTTCCCTCTCTGAGTATATGTTTGTCACTCTGCCTATCAATCTTTTTAAAAAGTTATTAAGTTTAAAATGTTACAAAAATTCTATAAACAAAACCAGAGATTCACAAAAGAAACCAACAGATCATAAGGTAGATTATAAGGCAAGAAAGAACCTACATTCAATGCTAGAACAGGTAGGGAGAACAAGGAGCTACAAATTTTATTTCTTTATATATATCTGCCTCATTAAATTTCTGATGATAAGCATACAATGTTTCAGTAAGTAAAAAAACATCAAGTATTAAAAGCAAATTGAGGGCCCGGCGGTGTGGCCTGGTGGCTAGAGTCCTCGCCCTGAGCACATCGGGATCCCATATGGGCGCTGGTTCTAATCCCAGCAGCTCCACTTCACATCCAGCTCCCTGCTTGTGGCCTGGGAAAGCAGTCGAAGATGGTTCAAAGTTTTGGGACCCTGCACCCGTGTGGGAGACCTGGAAGAAGTTCCTGAATCTTGGCTTTGGATCGGTGTAGCATCAGCCGTTGCACTCACTTGGGGAGTGAATCATCGGACAGAAGATCTTCCTCTCTGTCTCTCCTCCTCTCTGTATATCTGACTTTCCAATAAATAAATAAAATCTTTAAAAAAAAAAAAGCAAACTGAATTGAATAAAAATTTCCTAAAATATTTATGCCACATATCAATTCAACTTATCAAAAGCACCATAGTTTCACAGCCAAAACTAAAATTTTACCAAACTTTGTAAAAAATTTACTTATTTTTAATTAACAATATCAAATTTTTGACATTAAGGTCAGGAAATAATTCAGTAACAAAAATACATCTCTAATGTATCTCTAAATGTCTCACTTTATTTTTTTCATCTCTAATTTGTCACAAGGATTTCTACATAAGCTGAGATGTTACAGCAGCTGTCATCTGCTCTCTCAGGACAACTGCTTACCTTAGCAGACCCAGAAAAGGTTTTCCAGTTATCATTTACAAAGGATGCTTTGTTTTGCTTATACAAAAATTTCTCTATTGCCAGACCACTCCTGGTCAGCCTATTTGTTCTGTTATTGCTACTATTCGATCCTTTTACCTTTTTGTTTCTCACCAATGCTTTCATCAATTTATTTGAGTAATTAAACTTTTTCCAAGAAAACAAAAAGAAACAAGCTGTCATAATTATTCTGGGACAATCTAGGTTTCTTTTTAAGACTTTAAGATAAAGTGTATTAAGTAGAAACCAAAAAGACATGAAGAGAATACAAAAAGATTTTAAGAGGCTACCTAAATACATAATAAAGTGGCACTGGTATACTCAAAACCTCAAAACTCAAAAGACAATTTAAATCCAAGGACCAACAGACCATTAATGAAAAAAAGGTCTAAAATAACTGCGGGCACCCAAACAAGCTTAGATAAACCGAGAAAGAACGCAGCTTAGGAAAAGAGAAAATACACACAACCTAACCCCGCACCCAAAATAAAAACCCACCAGAAGTACTTACCCTTACATAAATTACTCTGAGCATACTTTAAACATGTGTGACAAGACATCAAACTAACAAGGCAGTTAAAATGATGAGAGCAAAAAGAAAACTAACAGTTCAGTAAAGTCTAAAATGTTATTATTCCTCAATTTGAAAAGGTAAAAGGATATAATCCAAATGTATAAAATTGCACATCATGAACCGGTGAGAGCACATTTCAAAAGCCAATAAAATTATTTAAAGAGAAATAAAAGGACTTACATTTTCATTTAACATTTAAATAAATAGACAAGATTATGTAAATAAAAACAAATGCAAAAAGTTTAATAAATGTTTAAATTAGTGCTGTTGAAGTATGAAATTTTTATTTCAAATTCAGTGCAAATTGACATTCAGAAGATAAAAATTACCTAAACAATGATCTTATATTTGGTGCTGTAACAGAATCAAATTGCTACAGAAATTTCACAGCTCTTGGTCTTCTTTGCTTATCCCTTCACAGATGTGTAATACAGTCTGCAAATGATACTTTGAATACAACTGCTTTAAATAATAGTAGGCCAATCATATGTCTTGGCATGTAACTGGGGACACGCTCACAAAATATGGGGTCATACATTTAGCAAAATGTCAATGATTGGCATGTTTTCATGTCAAACAGTAGCCTGACGGCTCAGCTTTCCCTGGCTCGTCCTCCACTTTATCACGAACAGGAAGAAACAGAGCTCAATGAACACATTCTAGATCACGCTTGCAAAGAAACTATTTTTTTAAAGCTTCTCTTTTAAGACTGAACTAGACTAAACAAAATCTGCTTTTTAAGTACTTAAGTATAATACTTAAGTAGAGTCAGAAAAATGTCAATATGAATTTGAAAGTAAGATTTAGAGCAAATAGTTTGCTTTGGAAAGTTACCTGGAACACATGACCTCAAATATTTCAAAAAAAAATTTAGCTAAATTACCATTAACACGGTGGAATCCATTCTCTAAGTAGATTGCAAAATAAATGAAAACTTTCAGCAGTACTCTAAGACGATCACAATAAAGTACAAAGTTTTAAAAGGATATGCTTCGGTTCTTTTAGAAGAGATATCTTTAGTCTCATGTCTCCACCTTCAACATAAAATTTAAATGCCACTTAATTGTATTCCCTGCAAAAATAAAAGCAGAAGAAAATATAAAGTCAGGATTAAAAGGAAACATATGTAAACACATAAGAAAGCAGATGAAACAGTTTTGTACTCCAGCCCTTTCCATCTTTCTGGCATTAGACACAGGGGAAAAGGAAGAAGACAGGTCTGTGGTCCTGCCCTGGGGGACCAGAGCCTTGGGCAGAGCACCGGGGCACTCCTCAACCTGCCAGACAGCCCTACAAATCCAAGACATCATTAAGTAAATCTAGTCAGGTAAAAAAAACTGGCGCAGACAATCCTGAGGCCGAACAAAAGGATGCTGCCAAATGGAACTCATTAAAGGCCAGTGCTTGCCCGATGCAATGGATCTAAATTAAACTTCCAAAGTCTGAACAAGGAATGAACTACATTTTTAAATGTTTTAATTCTAGAACCCCCATGGGAATAAGATGGCATTGACCTAGTAGTCCACCAAGGCTTGCAGTACTGCCTAGCAGGCTTGGGGTGGGGTGAGAGCGAGGGAGTGGGAAGCAATGAATGCTGAATACAACAGCTTTGGTTATCACGTGGCTATGAGAAACATCAGTGAGTTCTTTAAGAGGTAACACTTTCAGGTTCAGTGTTGTGGCAGTTCAGTTAAAGCCCACAGCTGTTAGACTGCTCCACTACAATCTAGCCCCCTACTAGTGGTCTGAGGAAGGCAGCGAAAGATGCCTAGGTCCTGTCACCTGCTGGGACCAGGTAGAGCTCCGTGTTCCTGACTCCGGCATGGCCCAGCCCTGGCTGTTGTAGCCAGCTGGAGAATAAACCAGCACTTGGAAGATCTTTCTCTCTCTTTCTCTCTCTCTCTCTGTCTCTCTTGCACGTGCGCACGTATGTGCGCTCTCTGCAATTCTGACTTGCAAATAAATATATTATTAAAAAAAAAAGGAGGGGTACCATTTTGATTATAAAATTCATGTAAAAACCATAGTAAATGCCAAATAAAAACTTGGGGAAAAAAAGAGTAGCACCTTCCAAATAACCAAGTCATCAAAATAAACAGATCAAGGCTAAGTTGTCTGACCCCATTTTACATGTACAAACTTCTGAGTGACATCATGAGCCTAAACTCAAAACTCAACCAAATGAAAGTATAATTAAAGGGAAACAAATTCCTTTGTCCAATCAAAAGCTACTGCGAACTGCATCGAAGGACGTGCTGATCATGTTATGCAGACCTCCCTTCGGTACTTTCTCGTTCCCCTGAATCCAGGAAGAATTTCGGATTCCATAATGCACTAACTACTAGTACAGCTGCATTGCAAATCACTCCTGTCATTTCTTTCTCCTGGTTGTCAGCGTGATTTCAGCTGAACTTCAAAAGTGTGAAGCTGTATCACACTGCCAGAGCTAGAACACGGCCTCTCCCAGACACGCAGACACACTTCACAGGTCCGCTTTTTGATCCTCAGGAATTTGTCAACTTCCTCAAAAACTCCTTTACCCTTTCCATCAGGCCTCCTCCAATCAGTGAAGACAAACAATAACATCATCGGTACTTCTGCCTTTTCACAAGAACTCAAATGTACTCAGCTTATAGAGATTTAAATAAAATAAAAGCAGAGAAATTCTTGCTACTGGAAGTGACAATGAACAAAACAGATAAGGAAATGCAGACAGAAGCTGGAAATATTATTAAATCCAAAATTATAAAATAGTCCGATTTTTATAAGAAAGGGACTACCAACTGCTCAGAAACATGGTACCAATAAGTTACAGAAAGAAGCAGGAGGCATCCCAAACCTGGAGGAGACAGTCTTACTCAGAAGCCTCTTCTCTGGCAATCCGTTTAGCTGAGCTCATAAGAACAAACAATATGAGCCTTCTGGTGTGGGACTGCGTACAGCAAGGCTGACAAGCTGCATCAGAGCACACGCAATTCAGAGAAGTCCAGAGCTGTTCCAATGCTACACTGAGACACTTTCAGGCTGCTCAAAAGCATTGGTCACTCAGGGTCTGGCCAACTGGTAGGAGGACAGGAGTGAGATAACGCAAAGAAAATTCCCAGGTCCTGATCACTGGTAGCTTTACACAGGAAGCATGTGATAACAAGTATGAGCTTACTATTAAAAATCACTTCTAAGCCATTCCTGGGCCAGTGGACATAAATATTTATGAGATTTGGGAGGAAAAAAAATGTTATCAGTTTCTGCAGCTCCATCATAACAAAAACTACCACCACCCTTCCTCATTTAGAGGCAGCCTCAGAATTTACCTCCTGCTCTTCCGCTCACCCCTCGGAAGCTTCTAAACAGAATGCCGTGGTTGCTTTAAGCTAAGCCAGCGCACAAAGTCCAGAGGAACTAAGGCAGAATAAGTAATGACAAAAGCAGAGAAGGGGAAAGAGTGAGGAGCACAGACCATGCAGGGAAAGGACATCTGATCAAAGACAAAGGAAAAGCTTTAGTTTTTCCTCTGAATGAACCAAGGAAACAGGAGAGAGGGGCTGGCGTAGTGGCACAGAAGGCCAAGCCTCAGCCTACAACACTAGAATCTCACATACGCAAGTCTGAGTTCCAGACGCTCCTCTTCTGATCCAATTCCCTACTAATGCGCACGGGAAGGCAAAGCCTGATCAAGCCCCGGCCACCGGGAGTAAATCAGCAGATGGATGATCTCTGCCCCTCTGATTTTGTCTTTCAAGTAAATCTTTAAAAGAAGCAACAGCAGCAGCAAGTGGAGAGGTTATAAGCAAGACTGATACCATCTGATTTACATTTTGAAATGAACGTATATGTGGTATGCGAAAACCCACACTTTCAGCTGGCAAGAGTGGAAGCAGAAAAACCAGCTAGGATTTCAGTAATCCACAAGACAGAGGAGAGCGGTTAGCAGGAGAAAAACAAGGCAGGCTATAAAACACATGATAAAGCAGACAGACTCTGAATATATTTTGAGAGAAGACTCATTAGGATTCATTGACAAATTGGGTTTAAGACTACTACGGAAGTCAGTGTAGAGAGTGCTAAGACAAGTGAAAACTGACCTGCCATATGATCCAGCTATCCCATGTTGGGCAATATATCCAAAGGAAACGAAATCTGCACATGAGAAAGTGACCTGCAGTACTATATTTACAGCAACAAAATCTATACTAGCAAAGACATGGATGCCTGTCAAAAGAGAAACTGATCTAAAAAAAAAAAAAAGCTGTGGTATATCTACTCCACGGAACACTATTCAGTCGTCAGAAAGAATAAAATTATTCCATTTGCAATCAAACAGTCCCAACTAGAAACCATTATGCTCAACGAAATAAGCCAATAATAGAAGAACAAATATTACATGTTCTGTCTGACATAAGGCAACCTTCATGCAAAATATAAGACCAATAAACATATAGGTAAACATGTATATGCATGTATTCATCCACAGGAACTCTACAACAGAGGAAAGTACACCACGTAGTGGAGATACACCACCGTATGCATCTCTACTTCTGAATAAAAGATGGACTCCCAAAGAAACTGTTAAATGTATCTTGACAATAGAATGCTGGGCTTTCCACCATGGCCTACACCTGCAATGTCAGCATACACTTACACAGCAGAATGATGGACTTGTGACTCCTGCCGAAGGACTCTGCTAATCTTACAGTATAGTAGAAAGCAGTGGGAGGGGAAGAGGATTGGGAGGATGGAAGGGGAAATCCGGAGTCTAAAGAATTGTAATCATGGGGCCCAGGGTGATGATGGCTTATTGGTTAAGGTCCTCGCCTGTTGGGGGCACTGACAATTTCCTGCCCTGTGATTGGCCCTTTGCCCTGATTGGTGTGCCTTGGTTATCTTTAAGCTGATTAGACAGGTTTGACAGGTAAGGAGGGGGTGCGTAGCAGGGGAGGGGCTTCAGCATAATGGAATTAACGGACATAATGGTTTTTAATGGAAGATCGGAATAAAGAGCCTCAGAGACTCTCATGTGTCGGGGGATTTCTTCTGCGGGACAGGAGACCCCTGATAACTGGCGCTGTGACTCGGATAGAAGTCTGCTGGAGAACATCAGGAAGGTAAGCTGAGCAGATCGCTCAGGGAGCCGCTTACAGGGGGAATTAGTTTACAACTGAGCTTTTTGCTCAGGAAGCCACACTATGCAGGGACGTGCACATCAAGTTCGCGGGTCTAACGACCATTCAAGTTCGCGTTCTAGCAACCATTCAGGTTTGTGGATAACGATCAGTCAATTTCACAATTTGACAATCGGTCAAGTTCGCAGGTTAGCAGACGATCAGAGGTGTTAGAAAGATGGGCAATTTAACTTCTTCAGCGCTCACGCAGCCTTTATTGCAGAAACTGCTGACAGTGCTGTTGTTTTTGCAAACTGTGCAGAGGATCGCCCGTGGTTTCTGGAGGAGGGCCTTTTGATCCTGCCGCAATAGGAGCACTTAGTCAGAGACTTATCTAGGGCAGAATGGCAGGAGCCCCTCCCTCCAGGAACGGTCAGGTTCTGGACATTGATTAAGTCTTGCCTAACAGATGGCACTGATAAATTCAGAGGACTTATACAGGAAGGTGAGAAAGTCTTATAGAGACGCAAAAAAAAAAAAAAATCAGAATGGACAGTTTAAAGACCCTTAATGATTTCCAGCAGGTATTTGGGCATATTAATTGGATCCGACCATATTTTTGTATTATTAGACAATGCCAAAATTGTGTCCCCTTTTTATCCCAGCCTTACTTTGGGGTTAGTCCCCGTGGTCTTATGCCTAATCATATGGCAGATGGATGTTGCCCATGTTCCCAGTTTCGGTCACCTTTCTTTTGTTCATGTCTCTATCAGTACCTGCTCTGGGGTTCTTTATGCCTCAGCTCATACAGAGGAAAAGGTTCAAGATGTTATATCTCATTGCCTTCAGGCTTTTGCAGCCTGGGGTGTCCCCCAATGTTATAAGACTGATAATGGACCTGCCTATACAGCCAAAGCATTTGATAAGTATTGTTCTGAATTTGCGATTAAACACTCCACTGGCACCCTATATA